AGGGAACCCCCCCCCCCCCAAAACAGATACCTGATGGTTTGTTTTCCCTTCTGGGAACATTCTCCCTTTATTGGGAAGTAGGCAAAAAACTACAATACCAAAACCAGATGACTTGCCATATAACCAGAGGCTAAAACAACTTCAATTACGGATTTTATTTAACATTACAAGATTGGACTCTTTCATTGTCCAGTGCAATAATACCAGTGAAGCCATGGACAAGATCATTAAGAAAATGGCAGGTTCACACATCATGCTGGGGCCTGATTTATTGGCTTTGGCTCAGTTTGGCAAGCCTTTGCCTAACTAACAAGAGAAATAAGAAACAAACCACAGCAATTTCATATAGACAGTGATTAGACTATCACCTCTCCTGTAATAAGTCAAGATAGAAATACAATTGCTTCACTCTCCCTTTTGTGCAAGCAAGCAGAAGTTTCAATAACTATAGTTTGCTCTTTCATCCAAACAAGTAAACTATGGCTTGGCTAGTTCACACATTATAATGAGCCAGACGTGTGTTTCTTCTAGCCATTGTGGTTACAGGGAAATTAAATAAAATTTGTTTCGCTTCAATATACATTTTCAACTAACCTAGAAGCCACCATGAAAAGAAGAACCCATGGTACTTCAAACACTGCTTTTCAGTTGCCGCTACAACATGTCTTTAAATGCTGGGAATCTGCAATAACCAGATTCCTGATAATTTCATCTGTACTAAAAGCTTCACTATAGATAAGTGAATCTTTGTCTTTCTCCTCCACAAAACTATTATGCACCATAACCTTATCTTTTTTTTTTTCAGCAGTATGCTCTTATTCAGCAAAAATGTTAATTATTCAGTCATTTATAAACTAATTTAAATTTACAAATGGAGTTTTAAAAATAGTCACTCAGTTCAGGTGTTTCCTTATAGCACAGAAAGGAAAACATGTTTACATTCAAAAATGGACATGGACAAGCGTGAAGAGCAAAAAAAATGCTGCAGCGTGTCCACTTCTGCTGACAGTAGGTTTCCGGATGGGATTTCTATCAATCTGCAGGATGTGGCAAGCTATAAGAAGCTTAGGAAGGCTCCTCCATTTTCTCTGTCTCATGCTAATCTCCATTTTTATTTCCCAGATGATTTGCAGTGTTTCACAATTAAAGAACAAGCTGCCATCAGCTGTAGGCTGTCTTCTTACCTTACTTTTCTTCAGGCAAGTTCTCTCTCTTGTTTCTTAGCAGGCTTATTTATGATTCTATTATCTATCAGCAATCATTGTTTGTATACTCTGAAATGGAGTGATCATGGCCATTTCCCTTTCTTGGTACAAAGCAAACTTGGTACCACATTTGCTGTCCCTGATGCCAATTCTTACTCTGTCTCTGCTCTAAAACTCTACCCCAAGTTTGGGAGTGCATCTGTTGTTATAGGCAAAGCAAATGATCACCAGCCAGGGCAGAAGACATCCACCAGCGGGACAAAGCAACGAAAAGGGATAGCCCTGATATTATTGCAATTCCACAATTTCTGCCTGAGCTTCTCTAGGTAGTTTATTTACCCCTCCGCCCAAACCCCATTTTGGCATCTCACAAGTTCAAAAGAATGTGAAATAAAGAAGCACATGAGAAGACAGTGGACCAAAAATATCCACAGAGGGGAGGGAGGCAGCCCCTGCCCTGATTGTGCAGCCAACTCAACCCTATAGAGTATAACTGAAATTGACTAGCTCCTGGGGGTGGGGGTGGTGAAAGGTGATGAGGGTGATCAAAACTGACAAATGTAGGGAAACTGGGAAATAAACAGCAACAAAATCCTAGATCAACATCCCTCATTATTTCCAGGACAGTCCAAGGAATGCTCTATCTAAAGGCAAGGATCTCCACTGACACCATTGCTCAGTAGTGCTAATACAGATGTTGTCAGATATACAGTACCCCTGTTCTTCTCCAGATAGCAAGGATTTCCTCTCCTCTCCCCTTTTCTTGGAAGCCTGGAGAGAAATGGACTTCAAAAATAGGGAGGGTGGGAGGTAACAATTATGGAGGGAACTCTGCAAGCTAACAGAACAAATGCAGGGACAGATCTGTAGCATAGTGCTTGCTGAAGGGGGGAAAGGCTACTGTTATTGGGATAGAGCAACTGACAATATAAGACTGTACTCATGAGTTGAAGTCAATGTTGTGTGATCAAGAGGGAAAACTGGGGCTATCAGGGCATGATAGTTCTGTGCTAAAAAAGAAAAAAGTGGGCCCAAGGCTTTCAAATTTAATATATGCTGCACAGCAGGAAGTCTGACATGCTGGTTAATCTGTGTGATTTCTGTGTTAATTTCTATTGGCAAATCATGCTTTAGTTTCTGCATTCAAAAACCAGTGCTGGCCAATTATTTTGACATGTCACCTCTAATTCTATAAATCTGGTATAAACCTATATGGATGAAGATTCCTTGTATCATTACTTACTAATTCCTCTCCTTTTTTTCTGGATGGTCCCTTGAATATGACTTTGTCATCTTGATGGCTGAAGCCAACCATGCACAGTAATTAATTTAATCTACTAAGCCACTCAGTCTAGGTGAATATTATGCTTTTTCATACCATACCACTTTCTTACACATACTGTATGCATTTTACTTACATCTGAAAATGCAGGGATAATTTACACTTCCACAAAAATGGATGAAGCTGGAAGGCACCCCAAATTCACTGGGACTGCACTGCACTAGTAAATGTAAAGTACCTTCAGTATATTTTTCACAATTTTTTTTTATCATGTACCAGGCTTCTGGAGAAGTGGAAGCCTTAACAGCAGAGTTAAATCTCTTGGCAGTGCTGGTTTAATAAAGAGTGATGTCTCCTTTCCCCGAGGCCTGAATTCCTTAGATACAGGATTTCTGTCCCAAGGGAACAAGCTATATCCAAAATAAAAATATTCTGTGTGTATAAAAGGATGACACACTGATGTCTCTAATGCTGTCCCACCTGATTTTCCATGCTTTATGGAGCCTTCATGGCACGGGAAATCCATGAATAATAATGGTACAGTCTTCATAATTCATGCAGGGCAGCAGGGACTGTAGCACAGAAGTCCTCAATAACATTCGTAACAGATCTTTATAAGCCCCATCCTGTTCCCACACTTCATAGTAACGTAAGTATTATCATCATCAACAGTTTCAAGTCATGGAACTGAAACTTGGAAAGGCTGTTAACACAAGATAACTGAGATAATGAAGGTCACATAGCAAAAGCAACATCTGCATTGTGCACTGTTTGCTTGTATTTAGTTCACTATAAAATTCAGAATCTGTTGCAAAATTCAGTTTTGTACTGTTAATTTTGTATTTTTCTTATATATTTGGTTTCAGTCTGTAAAGCATGCAAATCTATTAGCTAGGTTTGAAAAATATATAAATATGGGAATGTGTGGGACCCATAAAACTTACTCCAAGTTTTCTTCTATTTTATGCCCCCTTACACAATGGTCATTTCACCTCAATCACCATGATCTGTTCTCCGTTTAGCTTCTCTGTGCCCTATAATATCTAACCTTTATGTTTTGAGTGCAGAATCATTTTTTCATGCAAAGTTGAACTGTTTGGGCAAAGCACACTCCCCTATTATCAAAGCAGCATATGTCTTCCCTCCAGGCCCCCATTTCCAAATTATAAACTTGGAAGAGAAACAAATTGTCAAGCTAAGCAAATGATTTCAAAATTATGGATACTGATTTTGGATTTATTGGTATCAAATGTAGATGGGGATAATGTTTGTGGGTGCAGAATAGACACAACCCACCCTATGGTTACATTTTCAAATAAACTGTGATGGCAGCCTGGGCCTTAGTGAAACATTGTGCATGCAATGTTTTATACATACCACAGAATCTATAAAAAAATCATTCCTAAGCAATTATGACTTCAAATGGCTTGAAAAAAAAATCAGATCAGAAAAGCTTTGAAAATGGAACATGAAATTATGTATATGTCCTTTACAAGAGAACTAGTGCTAGCTTTCAGTATCCATGAAAAAGAAATTATAGCCATATATGATGATGAAAGAGCTTACTGTGATTACTGTTTACAGCACAGATATTATGCAATAACATATGATCCACTTCAGCCTCCATAACCTTATATATGAAATTCCTCTTCAGCTTGGACAGGCAAGCATGTTCTGGTTTTACCTTTGATAAGGGAAATATCCCCAAGCAAGGTGAACTTCTTCCATCTTACCTTGAACATCTGAAATGGCTGTGGTGTGGTTAACCTCCAACCTTTTCCCAACTCCATCTACAGAAAAAAGGAGATTACCTCCATTCATGAGCTTTGCACAGTAGCAGTGTTATCTGTCAATGTTCTGAGTGACCCGCACGCCATGATATATCTGATTCTGCAGAGGCTCAACCTCCCTTCAATAATACCTTTTATAAAGTCTTTGTTGGGTTCTCAGTTTATGAAATAAAACCGCGGGGTCTTTCTAATCCAGGCTGAAATTAGTTACGGTGCAGTTAAGAAGACAAATCGAGGCCTAGATGATGTTGCCAAATTTCAACTCCAATCAGTGCTAGCACTCAGAGCTAATGCTGAGGGATGATGAGAGTTGCAGCCCAACAATATGAACATGAATGTTCATGTTCAGCCCAACAATATGAACACACATGGCCAGATTTTGCTCTAAGTTAACCCTGGAGCAGCATGTTTGCTTGGTTAGCTATCAAGGCTCAAGCAAATCTGGCAGAAGTTTTAGGTCAGTGTTTCTCAATCTCAGCAACTTTAAGATGCATGGACTTCAACTCCCAGAATTCTCTAGCCAGCATGGCTGGTTGGGGAATTCTGGGAGTTGAAGTCCATACATCTTAAAGCTGCTGAGATTGAGAAATGCCATTTTAAGTGCTATTTTTCCCCCTCTCAGTTCCGTAAAGTTTTTGAATAGTACTAAATAAGGTGCTGTCATTTTTTCATTTACCCCAAAATACCTGTTATCATATGATTTCAAAGGATAGGGAAAACGTATATCCTTTGCAGATATTCTTTCCCATCTCAAATGTGCACAGTAGAGCAATTCTGCTATTCCCCTGCATGTGATTAAAATAAGAGAGTTCCTAGCGCCATAAGGTCTCATATATATAAATTTTGACTGAGGGTCTGGCATTATGCAATGGGGGTAAAATCCTCCAGCATTGCAGAAGGGAAAGCAAGGCCTCATTCAGATGATTAGGAACAAACAAACAGCTGCAAACTTATTCACAAGCATATTCACCATCCTCTGCATTAGAAGCTTGCATTTTTAGATAAAGAATTTCATCTTAAGAGGAACAAGTTTAGTTCACATTAGCTATGGATCTAAAGTCAAAAATTCCCAGATTGATTCCTTAGTTCCAATGCAGTATATTGCCAATCTTGTCATTAATTATATGCAATATATCTGTATACTATTCATCAAATTACAAATGGTTGTTGATGATTGTCCATCTATAGATTGGAGTTTTATCATACCCCAAACCATTTTAAAATGTGTATCCAAAATGTAAGACGTATACTGAATTAAACATCAATTTCTATATAAACAAGTTACAACATTTCTATACATCTCTCGGAAAGATTCACAATAATTAGGTCTCCTGATAAACTGAAGCTTTCTTTGCAAGGAGGAAAAAAAAACCCAACAGTGTGGAAAAACAGTCAAGCATCATAAACATGATGCAAGTTTCTGAAGACTGGTGGAGAGGTTTTGGGGGGGACTGACTTTCTCTAATAGAGGGCAGCAACCCAGAGCCCCCCAATATGACTGCACAGTTTGAGTATAAAGGTGGGATAAAAACTGAATAAATTAATGAATTAAATGGGCCAAGGATTACTGCAAATGTTATTTCTGGAAAGGACACACTATGAAAAGTGAACTGTTGATGTGGATTCAACTCTCCCTCCTCCCAGCACTCATAGATCCATCACCACACAATCCTGATGTTGGCACAGGTATTTTCAATCCCACTGAAGCCAAATTGGCCCCGAAAGGAAGAGTAAAAAAACTGCCCCCCTTTTTTTCCTCTGATCAGAGTAAGCCAACCGGGTTTTGGACCTGATGGACTACCACTTACAGTATTTCAATCTGCATTTCATTTAGGATTAATCTCATATTGCTGCAAGATGCTCACTCAACAACTGAAATGGTATATATGCCTAGATAGATAGATAGATAGATAGATAGATAGATAGATAGATAGATAGATAAAGTAGGGCAAAACCTGAGTGTGTGGAATGATTAGAAGTTTCACATTATATCCTGAGAAATGATGACTTTGTTTAATTGAAGCCCAACATATTTAATTAGAGCTGCCCCATGATAAAAGCAATCTTAGTTAATTAATCATGAAAGCTATAAACCTGGATGGATTTAGATGAACAAAACAGTAATTCAGAAGGGAAAAACATTCTTTTCACTGTTTTTAAAAGATGCGTACATGAGCCTCAGCAAGTAAGAGGCATTCCCTGAACGTGAGACGAGAGGGAAAGTCCCTTCTGAGAGTTTGGCTGTCATTCACATAACTGTAAACTGTTTGCATTCAATATAATTATATACACCAGATAACTTCTTTTAAATTAAAAAATAATTTAAAATCAATGGAAAATGGCTGACCTGGTTTTAATTATTACTGAGCCAACTAGTATGCAGGTTTGCTCATGAGATGTGTGATTTATAACATGGAAAGCTTTATTTGAACCAAAGCAATTTATGCCAAATAAACATTTTACATTAATTTAAACCACTTTTGAACAGCCCAACTTAATCCACGCTACAGGTCCTACTGATTTTAGAAGGATTTCCAACAAAGGTATAATGTTTAAGAATAAATACATTTTAAATGGTTATGTTCCAACATTCTAATTTATAGTGTGATTGGTTTTTTTTTTTTCCTGGGTTACAATGATTTGCATAGGGAATGCGTAAATAACCATAGTTCCTTTTGAGGTGGTAAAGCACAGGCTGAAACCATGGTTTGTTGCAAGTTCCAATAGGCCCATGGGCATCTCTCTTGGCATCAGCAGTCTACCTGATCTAACTGATTTTTTTTAGATTCCTTTAATAAAAAAAAAAAAAGAGGGAGCTAATGTGCTAGAAAGCAAAACCTTAGGCTCTAACATTTATGTACAACAAAGCTTTGCATCCCATAAATACTTTTAAAATATAAGAGTATGTTAAATTAGGATTGCAGATAGTATACTGGCAGAGATGAAAACAATGGTGGAGAAATACCACAAGGAGTTTTCCTAAAAGTTTGTTTTGGAACCAGCCACATCCATCATGACTGCTAGTTTAGGAATACACAAGACCCCAAAGGGAGCTATTTTGTGAGAACGATCACAACATGCTTTTATCGTGCCCTATTTCTTTACACCCGATTTACTTTTAGTCCCATCCAAGCCTTTAACCAATGCACGGAGCTCCCCCAAAAGCTAAAAGTTAAAAAAAAAAAGGAAAAGGGGAAAGAGAAATTGGCCATAAGAGTCAGGATTGCTCAGACTGTAAAAAGACTGATTCTGGCTCGTTGAGTAGGCCATGGCTGACATAAAGCATAGCTTTGTACACTTAGCATAGCAAGTGTGCCACAAAAGCAAGAAGCACCTAAGTCTGAAAGTAATTGTCAGACAGGCTCCACTGGCACTCTCATTGCCTTGCACTTTCGTATCAGTGCCTTTTAATGATCCAATTTTATGTCTATTTTATACCACTTGTGAAGAGCAAGACAGTCTATAAAGCAGTGTTGTCCAAACCTGGCCACTTTAAGATAAGTGGACTTCAACTCCCAGAATTCCCTAGCCAGCCATGCTGGCTGGGGAATTCTGGGAGTT